ATATATATACATACATACACATATATATATATATATATATATATATATATATATTATACATACATACATAGATACATATATACACATACATACATAGATACATAAATACATAAACATACACACACACATATATATATATATATATATAGTAACACTTTATATATATATATATACATAAACATACATATATACATAAACATACATATATACATACACATACATTATATATATATATATATATATATATATATATATATATATATATATGTATATATATATATATATATAGTAACACTTTAAGAGTGCATTTGGTCCCACTCTGAATTAGTTGTAAAATAGACTGTATGTAGTGTATATTTTACTCCAGTTGTTGTTGTAATAACTCTAAAAGAGTCAATGCACTTTGACACTTCATGTTTAACACTGTGGAACTTACTGGGTAGAAAAAAAGAGGCAATTTATAAAATGTATATATTTTTATTTAGCACACTTAAATAAATTGTCCTTAAATCTGTGTTATTATATACAATGTGTCTACACTGGAAAAAGAAATTGAATATTTTAAATAAATAAATGAGCAATTATCTCAAGAATTTTTAACTTACAATAAGTTATTGCTGCTATTTAATCTATTCACATGAGTGATTGTTCAATTAATGTCCAATACAGTTCAAGCATGGGGGATTTAAATAAGGGCTGATAAGGGGCCGCATATAACTTTTTTCCGGCCCTGTTCAGCAGGTTGTTTCCTTTTCTTTCTAGTTTTAAAAGAATAAAATCATGGCAGCCACTAGGTAGCAGAACTCCACCTTTAAAATGAGCGCAGCAGTGAGAATAACGGACACAGAGAGGGGCAGGTAGGACACAGCCTGCTGCTTTCCTGCTTTCAGCTTTTATCTCTGGAGGTACGGGAAGGTGATGCCGTAAAACCTTTTCCCTGTCGTAAACCAGGTGCGGAGAAGAAGGGGAGGTGAAGGGAGAGAGGGAGGTGGTGGAGGAGGAGGGAGAGGGGGTGAGAGAGGAGGTGACTCTCCGGCAGCATTTAGACACAACGAAAGGATCATGGCGGATGGCCCCAGGTGTAAGCGCAGAAAGCAGGCGAACCCGAGGAGGACCAGCGGTGAGTAGAAACTACTTCCTCCGTGGACTTTTCCCTCCGTGGGCTCTCCTGCCGCCGCGTGTTTTGTCCGGAAAGTTGAGGAGTGTGTGAGAGCTGATTTTATTTTTTATTATGAGGCTGAAAGTGTTGCGGGGAGTGTAGCGGTGTGGTGAACCGTTATACCTGGGTCGCTCCGCCTGGCGGACCGTTAGAGGCGCACCTCAGCGCGCGAGGAGCGCAGCGGCTCCCTTTCATCTTTAAACATCCCAATAAACATTCAACATCTAAAAAATGAATATTCCCCGATTTTTGTCGAGTTTAGAAGCCAATAAAAAAGCAAAACAAAAAAACAGTCGGACCTGTTTCTCAGGAATTGAGTACCTGGTTATTACATTTTAAGCAGTTTGGTTTATCTATATACATTATATCTAATCAGGTGTTGTTTTAAAACGCTTTTAACATTTTTTCTAATGTAAAAAAAGAAGAAAAAAAAAAAAAACAGAAATAAAAGTATTTTTCTGTTTTAATCTCCGAGCAGGTAGGCTGTTGCTGAGCCGCGAGCTTCGGACATATCTGCCCTTTCCTGGCTGTTTCTTTCGGCTGTTTTGAAACACTTTCCTTCTTTTTGTTATATTTTAAATAAGGAGAAAATGACGACACTTTAAGTTATAGTTTATTTTCTTTATTTTTTTTATTATTGATCAATGTGTTCTCGCAGTTAAGCCTTTCATTCACACACTTTGTGTTTTTCTTGTTGAAATGAGGAAAGTAAAGGAGTGAAAGCTCAGCAGAAAAAAAGCCCGGAGTGACCGGGGTTCCGGAGAGTGAGGATATCTCACGCGCTGTTTGAGCGCAGCCCATATAAGGAGAGCGGATCCTCTCCTGTCGCGCGACGGGAATCCTGATTCTCACAGGACATCGGAGGGGAGCGAACCTTCACTTCCACGCGCTCACTTATATCTTTTTTTCTCTTTTTTTGCGTGTATGTGTTTCAATGACTTCATCCCATCCTTTACTTTCATTAATTATGTTTATAGGTTCATAAAAACAGTTTCTTCATCAACATAATGGCTGAAATATTGAAAATGTCGCTATGAAGCTCACGTGCCCGGTGTTTATTTGGATTTTTTTGTGTGTTGCGGGTGTAACTGTGACTGTTCCTCCCAGGATCGGAGGCTAACGCAGCTGTTCTCCTCTCTGAGCTCCTGTTGCTATAACAGTAATCCGCAGGCGGAGAAAAATGCGAGCGCGTGGTGTTTGTGTGTTGCGCGCTTTTGGTTTTCCTGGGAGTTTTCTGCGGACGGCAGAAGAAGAAGAAGAAGAAGCAGGAATGTTTTGCTTTTTTTCCCCTTTCTTGTCATATTTGCTTCATTCTCCTTGGATTTCTTCTCTTTATTATCCCTCCTCCTCCTTTAAGCGAACAGTTTGTTATTAAACCTTTTAATTTAATGAAACGGCTCTATTGATATGCAAAGTCCCCCTTTTCACCAAACAGATGCCTTTTCCTGTCGTTTGCCTCTTTTTGTTGCTTCAAAGAACCCCCCCCTCTCCTGACAATCTGTCATGTAGATCAACTTCATTTCATTCAAGAGGAAAAGCTTCTTCTTGCACTAATTTAATTCATTTTTAAGTATTTTAGTTGTTGTTTATGATGCCAGTCTGGACCCACAGCTCCTTAGCGGCAGATTAGATTTCTGCAACCGAATACATCAAATGTCGCGAAGCAGTTTTGCTGATATGCTTCTGCAGTCTGGAATTTCTAGGGTTGCACAGCAGTTCCATGCCAAAGCACAAGGGGGAGCCTATTTAAGAACTCGCAAAAACTTTGGCGGCGTCGGCGGGAGTGTTTATGTTCTAAAACAACAATGGCGCACCTGCAAGATGTCACGGAGATGGATCTAGAGTTGCTAGACATCGAAGAGGAACAGGTTCTGTTAATGGAGTTGGCAAAAAGACCGATTAACCTTTCGTCGTAGTTTTCCATAGTAGTTGTTCCTCGGTTTTTTAAAAATGGCGTGCCCCAGCACCGCACGGAGAAGGACGACCAAACAGACAGCCGGAACGGCATACCAAGGACCAATCACAGCTGCTCTTTGTCTGCGCACTTCCGCTTGAGGTCTGCGCTGGTTTGCGACCGTCCGACGTGTAGTCGGGATTTTTTTGAGGTGCGCGACGTTGGTTGCTGAGGCTATGCGTCGCTTTCCTGTGTGGACATTAGCCCTGTTTACCATTATATCAATTTTGAACAAACTTTTTAAATATAAAAAATTCAACTATTCGAGAACTCGTGTGAGAACTTCGGCGGATGGTCACGAGAACATCTTTTTGGCCGAGACCTTGGCTTCTTTATAGAATTTGTCTGAGGCATCGTACATGTGGTTGTACTTCCGAACGTCCCTGATCAACCTTTCGTCGTAGTTGTTCGTTTGTTTTTAAAAATGGCGTGCCCCAGCACCGAATCGAGAAGGACAACCAAACAGACAGCCGGAACGGGAAACCAAGGACCAATCACAGCTGCTTCTTGTCTGCGCACTTCCGCTTGAGGTCTGCGCTGGTTTGCGACCGTCCGACGTGTAGTCGGGATTTTTTTGAGGTGCACGACGACGGTTGCAGAGGCTATGCGTCAGAAGCATAAATTGGCCCTAAGCATCGCTCTCCTGTGTGGACATTAGCCCTGTTTACCATTATGTCAACTTTGAACAAACTTATTAAATATAAAAAATTCAACTATTCGAGAACTCGCGAGAGAACTTCGGCGTTTTGGCCGAGACCTTGGCATCTTTATAGAATTTGTCTGAGGCATCGTACATGTGTTTGTGCTTCCGAACGTCCCTGATCAACCTTTCGTCGTAGTTGTTCGTCTGTTTTTAAAAATGGCGCGCCCTGGCACCGAATCGAGAAGGACGACCTGATTTTTGTCTGTGCACTTCCGCTTGAGGTCTGCGCGGGTTTGGGACCGTCCGACGCGTAGTCGGGATTTTATTGAGGTGCGCAACGATGGTTTCAGAGCCTTTGCGCGGGGGGCGTGGTTGCGCATAGAGACAGATTTGACGGTTGCAGAGGCTATGCGTCAGAAGCATAAATTGACCTTAAGCGTCACCTTTCTGTGTTGACATTAGCCCTGTTTACCATTATGTCAATTTTGAACGAACTTTTAAAATATAAAAAATTCAACTATTCGAGAACTTGCGAGAACTTCGGCGGATGGTCACAAGAACTTCGTTTTGGCAGAGGCCTTGGCATCTTTATAGAATTTGTCTGAGGCATCGTACATGTGCTTGTGCTTCCGAACCTCCTTGATTAACCTTTCGTCGTAGCTGTCCATTGTAGTTGTTCATCTTTTTTAAAAATTGGCGCTCCCAGCACCGAATTGAGAAGGAAAACCTGATTTTTGTCTGCGCAGGTTTTGGGACGGTCCGACGCGTAGTCGGGATTTTATTGAGGCAGAGACAGATTTGATGGTTGCAGAGGCTATGCGTCAGAAGCATAAATTGGCCTTTATGGGCAGTGGTGTTTGGGGGGGTTGGATCAAGGTGAGCTCCATTCCCTGATTGTAAACATAGAGGTGTTAACAGGCTGCAGGACGACAGGTGTTCCCAGTCGCCTCCCCTTTCGTCACCTTAACCTCCATGGGGAGGCCATCAGCTTTCCTCTGGCTGCGGTTTGGGAATAGAGGAATGCAGCGGGCATTAACATTCTCTGCAAAAAATAAACAGGGCTGGGAGGCCGGTTAATATGCCCTCTAAAGGGGGGGGGGGGGCTCATGCATCCAGGTAGGGAGTTTTAAGGAGGCAAAGAAAGAAAAAGGGATGTTGTTTACTTTTATGGATTTCACAAATATGCATAAGACCCCATAAAAGGAACTCAGGGTAAATTTTGCATCCATCCTGTTTTCTTAATCTTTCTTAACGAAAGCTCTGTTTAGATTTAATCAAATATTTGAAGAAGAACTCTGGAACAGATAGATCCCCCCCCTCGTTTTTTAACAAGGAGAACGTAGGAAGCCGTTTCTCTGGGCTCCATCTGATGCCTACACCCACTGCCACTTTAAAAGAAGAAAAAAAACCCAAGCTTATGTAATAGAGCGGAGTTTACAGGCCTGGTGGTGAAACTACGCCTCAGTTAAACGTCGCGCTCCAGAAACGGCCCGGAAACCTCCGACGTGACGCGGATCTCAGGGAAGGAACAGCAGTAGGTGAAGGAGGAGGTTACCCACTCCTGCCTTCTAACAGACATCTGTTTACATTTAGGGGTCCAAACCCCCCCACTACCACCCACCAGCACCTCTCCGTTTGGCCGAGGAGGAAATTTTTCATTTATCTCTCAGCTTTTCAGCAGCTTCCACAGTGAGCTGCATCTGAAAGCGCCAAGTAGGAGGAAAATCGCTCCGTCTCTCCTCCTTCCACAGCTTGGCCTTTATTTTTTTGGGAGAATAGTGAGACACAGTAGCTAAAAGAGGGGGGTTTGGAGGGGGCGGGGGTCTGATTGCCCCCTGACCTGGGCACCCATGCGTTCTTAGAGTATGACTTCACTTTCCCCCCTCTGTGCCATTGTGTGTCTTCCAGCATGTCCAATTGTGTTTGTGTTTAAGTCTGTTCAATGATGGGGGGGGGGTTCCTACCCACCTTCCCCTTCCCTCCTGTCCTAAACCGAGTTCCCTGCAGAGGGAGAAAGGGAGGAGGGGGTACAACAGGTGACAAGTGGAGGAGCGTCTGCTGCAGCAGATGCGGCGGACGACTCGCCCTCGTCGACTCGCCCTCGTCTCGCCGGAAACAAACCAACCGCAGATATACTTGTTGACGGTTTTTCTGTTTGGTTTACGTTGGGTGGCTTCCTCCGCCGCGAAGCAGCGGATCTCTGTTAATGATTAGCTGCTCCTACGGAGGAGGAGAGCATTAGCCTATAAAAAGGTGCTCCTTCTTTTTTAAACCCCTGAGTCAGTGTCAGTAACCCCCTCTAACTGTGCTCGGATGTGCTTTATTGGGGTTTGTGTGGCTGAATGGCCAAATGAACCATTGTGA